ACACATAGTAGAGTTAAAAAGGTATATCTAAATTTTTAATGTAAAATTCTGTATTTAAAGGTAGAATTAATAATATAAGTGGAAATTTATGTAAAAATTTATGTAAAAATTCAGAGCTTTCAGATTATTTCAATGTGATCCAGTGTGATAAAATGGCTATTTGTTTAGTAAAGCAGCAAGAGTGAGTCACTTGCAGAAATGCAATTAAGAGAGCTGCCTGCCAAATTCCTTTTCCACTGATATTGTTATTAATTTAAATACATTTTTAATAAAAATTAATCAGTTAATTGTGGTAATGTATCTTGCCACCATGATTAGCAAGATGATTTAGCTCATCAAAAGAAGAATAACTTCAAAATTATCATTATAATTGCCCTTAAAAATTTTAATATACATTTAATATAGTAGATATCTTATTTAATTGAACTTTCTATATTCATTCAATTCTGTATAGCAACCATAAAATATGACTTAGGAAAGAACAAAGACAAAATGTTAAAAGAAAAGACACCTCAGAAAATGTAATTTATAAAAAGTGCATTGACATCGGATCAGCTCTTCCAGCTAAAAGTCTAATATTCTCTAAGCTTATGAGAAATTTTTAAATGTGTATAACACACAAGGAGAATATTTGCAAAACAGAATGAAAAGATGGATGATTGATGGATGAGTGGATGAGTGAAAGGGGGGTAGATGGATGGATGGGTAGATGGATGGGTGGATGGATGGATGAATGGATAGATGGATGGATGGGTGGATGGATGGGTTGATGGATGGATGAATGGATAGAGTCAGACACAAAAGCCCTTGCCTTGGTAGTAGATCATCAATCCACTATAGACTTATGCTTGTATGGTAAATCCTACAAGAATGCTACACAACCTAGAGGAACTCCTCCATTCAAAAGCTGTTACAGTGACCTAGCAGCTCTCTTAATTCATCACCTTCCATTAAGCGATCTTTTAAATGCAAACAAAAGCAAAGCAAAACCAAACTGTATTTAATATTTCATATTAAATAATTCAAATGATACAGAGTTTATTCACTATAAATCAGGTGTTCCTTCTGCTTGAAAAATTCATTCCCCTTCTCCAGAACAGTGGCCACTGCCTCTTTAAGCTCTCATAAGCGTGTGTAAATACGCTGTACCAGCATCTCTGTGTGTTTGTATGTCTGTGCTTTCTTCCCTGCACGTAAAGAAGCCTGTGATGTGACATGCTGGTCCAAACCTTGATTTTTTCACATGATTTTTCACATAATGAAGATTTTTTTCTTATCACATGTATAAATCTGTTTCAATCCTTTAAATAGCTTCATAGTAGCCCCTTGAAAAGATGAATCGTGTTTTATTTAAACTTTCCCCTACTAAAGGATATTTCCAGTGTTTCATGTCTTGATATAAAAGACAGTAGTTTTAGTGTAAATAAGTCTTTATGGATTGTGCAAATGGTTTTACAAGAGAAATTCCTAGAATTGGAATTGTGAAAAAAAGTGAGTCCATTTTTTATCACAATAGCTATTGCTAACCAATTCTCTAGACTGCTTGTGCAGGTCAGACTCCCTTCCAGAGAACACTGCAACCTGTTTCTACACAACTGCAGACACTCTACAAACCATCCTACTTCCCAGCTTCATAATCATAGGTTGAAGTCATATCTGTGGGCTGGAGATTACCTCAATGGTAGAGGGCTTGCTTAGCATGCATGAGGCCCTGGATTCAATCCCT